AATTCATGAATCATAGTTATGAATACAGCGTGTTTACAAATGAACAAAATCTCTGGAGACTAATTGTTGATCACGGCAACATAAATACAACGAGTTTTTTTAACTTTAACTTTAAATGTTAACACAGTGCAATGGAATAGTAAGTGTGACTGAAAGGAATTTCCAGAGCCGTAAAAATATTTAAATAAAAAAAAGTGGAATATTAAGTAATGCACTTAGTAACAGAGCACTGCATTGTGGGAGTGGGTCACACTTGTGCCCTAGTTAACTATATTTGGGTTAGTAGATAAACATATATGTAAGTGTATTAAATGTGTGAGCAATGTTGTAATTTGACCCACAGAAAGTATAATAAACTAGTGACCCAACACGGCATTGCGCGGAATTGCAGTGTCCGTTGTATTCTTTTTAATGTTTGGAAATAGAATGGTATACGATAGCGGAATATAAGTGGAAGGTGATGAGATGAGCATGAAGTCTGTTAGCCCATTGTGGCGAATTCACCAGAAATTAACTATGATAGTTTCTAGGGGGGACCGCGTGGAGTATGACCAGACATGGTCATTTTGCTGGCAAAGGGAATATTAGTTGCCAATACTGACAAACCTAGGTTTAAACATAGGTATATTATTCTTGTACATACATATAAATCTGCGCAAAGTATTTCTTGTGTGAATGAAAGCCACATAAGAATGGTTATAGAATAATTAAACAACATTATGTAATTACAAATGGGAGCAACATTTTTAATTTTTTTCAATCAATTTTTGAATGTTTATTTTACCGGCCAGTACCTATATTGAAGTAAATTTATGCTAAAACTAATACGCGCAGGCTCTGTGGGATACAACTGGTACTGAATATTTGGCATTATAACTGGCAGTTATAAATTGGCCAACTGTTAACTATTTAAAAAATAAAATCTGCAATGGATTGGTAGCATGTGAAATAGTGCTACTCTAAAACTCGAGAGCCGACCCAGTTTACCAGTGCCGACTATTTTAGAAACGGATGTTTCTTAAATATGCATTCTTTATTCTTGTTGGAATTGTTATTGATTTATTGTTAATTAGATTGGATGAATGAAAATTGTAACATTCACTTATATACAAATATATATACATGAACAAGTACTATGGACATCAAGTTATCGTGTGACGCCGTGATACTACTCATTCGTTGGTATACTGGAGATCTAATACATTATGCTTGTAATCCTGAAATTATATTACTAAATCTTCCTCCAACCGAGACACGCAGAGGACTTTGAGCAAAATCTACCTGCGATAAAAAATCTTGCAGTATACAGATCATTATTACAAAAAAAAAACCAGTTTATGTTCTTCTCCATCGCAAAGGTGTTACAACCACAAATACAGTAGATGGACATTCTACTTACAAGGGCCTAAAAATTTTGTAACATAATAAACATATAAAATACCGAAATGATTACAAGCAATAATACTAATTAATAATAAAAAAAAAATCCGCAATATTCATCATCATCATCTGTTTCTTCATCCTAATCATATAGAGCCATGTATACAATTATTGACTGTATACAGAATACATAAACGACTGAGATGTAGTACAAATTATTTTCAGTTAAATAGAATGTATTCTAAAATGGAACAGTGTTTAAACTGTCGCATAGTATACAAAAATATAAAATGTATCCAATCGAATGTAGGCGCATAGTTTGACCCAGTTATTGAGCGGGCTATTTCGGAAAGCAGCCAGCTGCATTATCTGGCCACCGATGGTGACCTGGTTTCCATCACTCACTGGGCAAGGGCCCGGGTGTTTAATGCCACTAGTGTTATATTTTGACAATGGATGGATTCATACATTTGAGGTATGACGGAAATTGCATTGAATGTAAACCTATTAATATTATTAACTCAAAAGTTTGGATAGACGTTTGAGTGTTTGATACTTTTTCACAAACTACTGGACCGATTTGAATGAAATTTGGAACACAGATTTTTACTAATGTTAGATGTATATGATATATGATAAAAACTACAAACACTACAAAATAGCTAAAAGGCTCTGTTAATAAAATTTAAAAATAACTTTAGAAGGTCGGACATAGGTATATTTCTTCTACAAGAAAGCAAAGGAAGACGCGGAAAATAGCTAGTAGATCGTTCCCCAGATTAATACAACATACTTTTTACGTGAATTCTAGCAAGTATTGTCGCGAACAACTATTGTTTAATAAATGTAATAAGAGAAGACCGTAACAACTGTTAAAATTCCTGAATTTGATTTGAAATATTAATTAAATACGTTTATATATTTACTTATATAGTTCGAATAAAATTCTGACTAAGCTACATGTATTTTGTATAGAAACCTACGTGTCGTATAGACACAAATGGGTATTAGATCCACCTTTTTAGAGGTGTCCTCATATAACTGATATAAATGATAAACACAAAAATAATTAATTAAATGCGGATATTTTAAGTTTTGTTTACGCAACGTCAACTGTTGACAATGCTATGACAATCCCCCCTTATGTTACTATCGTTAGGATAGTTCTTCCATAATGTTGTTTTTGAAATATGATCTATTTTTTTTATATATTTTATAAATTTTTTTTTTCAATATTCTGGTTATGATTGTATATATTTTTTTCCAGTAATTTAATGAACTTTACGGTTACAATTGAAAACATAATAATGTAAATGTAACAATTTACGTATATAATTCTAAAACATACTAAAAATGTTTATAGTTTCCAAATAATATTTTCAAAAACAACCTACAATGTTACCTAATGCGCGGATAACATTATGTCTGATTTTAAAAGGGATTACTTAGGAATATGGGATAATTATTTAAGATGGGATGTAATTGTTTAGGGATTGCATACGAGCACCATATGGCTAAGTACCATCGCATAAGTCGCTGTAAATGTCAAGGTCACAAAATAAGGAAATGCGAATATCAGTGGTTTTTACGTCAGTTCACAAACATTATGCGCCCACATAAATTGAAGAAGCTGTATAATGTCATACGTTTTTTTAATTAAGTGCCTATATTCATTGTTACATACATATATGTTTATTTTAGGTGTTCGTTTTTTTTGAGTCTAGTTAAACCCGGCTACGCATCATATACATAGTTATATAACTAGCATAGCACTAATAGCAGACTATTATCAGTATCATAGGAGTGGGATCTTCATAAATTATAAAAAAAATCTAATTAATGAAAAATCAAAGGTCTAATAAATAAATAATAAACCACATTTCAATCAGCGCCATCTAGTTCAAAATTAAACTGAATTACTAGATAACTGACAGATATACTTTGTAAATAATAAATAGAATAGAAATAAATAATAATAATCTCAGGACAACTTACACAACGCCATCTAGTCCTAAGTTAAGCTAGCTAAAGCTTGTGTTACGGGTACTAGATAACGGATACACGTACATAGATTTTTTTTTCGTAAATACATACATATTATACATAGAAAACACCCAGACCGATACAAACAATCATACTCATGAATACAAATGTTTGTGCCGTGCGAGGAATCGAATCCGCGACCATCGGACGTAAAGCGGTGTGCTAGACCGCTAGCCCACCGAGGTCGTCAATAAAGTATAGTAAGAAAAAGAAATGGAACCATAAAAGAACATGTATTGGGCGAGAATGGAACTCGTGACGATGAGAAATAAGGCAGTATGATATATCATCACCAATAATATCCTCATATCAATTTTTTAAATAACTTTCACAATTTTAAAATTTGTTGGAAGTTGCTTTTATATCTTTAGCTAACAAAGAAAGTATGATTAAAATATAGGTATATAACTATATTATTACTTGGAATAAATATTTTGATATTTAGTATATTTTTTTCGTTTATTAATCGATTAAATATCAACAATTCTCAGCAGTCCTACATTTTCACCATTATTTATTTTAACAACACTTACTGAAAAAGAATTCCAAAATTATTAATTTACTACATACTCGTGTTTATCTATATCTTGGTCAAACATTATCAAATATTTACAATGAAACCTGGTCATTCGCCCGTTTCCACGAGTATATTATTATATATTAAACGATACAATTGCATATGAATAATATGCTAACACATTTATTTTATTCGACCGAAAACTCTGATTCATATGATCTCGATACTTCCAGCCCGGCGTAATATGTATTATATGTTAAAATGAAGGTGATAACCGGGCGGGAACTCGTCCACGTGGAATTTATGACATAGTAACAACTCGAGTAAAGATCGACAGGAGAGCGTATCCTAGGATACCCTGGGGCTTAATTAGGCTACGTAATTGCTAACAATTCTCAGCTCAAATAAATTAAAATGTACTGTTTCTCGAATGTGTATAAACTGGTTGAAATCATAAACAAGCATAAGGCCAGCCTTAACAGTTTTAACCATCTGTTATTTAGTACCGAGCCGTCTTATATACAGAAACAGGTGTGATAATAAATACATTCCCATATTATACATAACGCGCCAGCAAATACTCACTTCACCGTAAAATGTTCCCGAAATATGAAAACTTTAATAACCCGAAATTCCAATTTCAACACAAAACCTGTACACCACAATTACGACTGAATAATTACAGTCCATTGTCTCAGTTCGATTCCACCACAGGTGGATAATTGATCGGACAAACAGACGATGGGAATTTATAAAACCGTTACGCAATGCATTTTTAAGGGTCGTGAGGCAGTCAGCGCTTTTCAGAAATTACAGCGGGCGGTTTGGGGTGGCGGTGGCGGCGGGAACGGCGTGGCGGGATATGACGTTCGATTTAAAGGGTAGGTGCGTGGGGTGGGCGCCACCCGCAGCGGCTGCAGGGCGGCTGTTGACGGGCGCCGCGCGCACGCGCGCTGCGGCCGCCGGCGCCCGCCGCTCCCGATTTCCGTGGCGATGACAGTTCGCCCGGACTTACTTCCTCGAGGCCGCGCGTCCGCGGCGTCGCTGCATCAGCCCGAGTGACTCCAGCCGGTGGCTCCGCGTCTGATCGTGCTCGCATCTCGTGCTTCGCGCCCCGTGCACCGTGCACCACTCGCCGTCGATGGCAGATTGACGCCGCTCTTTTGCGTAAGTATGCCGGCTGCATTTTTCGTCCTCGATCAATTGGTGTCAGTTGATGGTTTTAAGTGGATAAATAAATTAAGGTGTTCACCTAATTTGTACGCGACGCTCTCGACGTGAAAAATGTGTGTTTGTTAGGATTTCCCGATCGGCCGTACCTGGAAGTAAGCATTTCCTTTGTCTAACAACTTCTCAAAGCCTCTAGTATTGAATAGTGGAGTAGTGGGATGGGGGAGTGTTCCTTAGTCAATGTAATGTCCTTTTAATTATATTTGGTTATGAAATTTGAAATAATGAAATTACCATAGATTTAAACTTTGTATGAATAATTTGAGTCTCAGCTGATCGGCACACTGTTGTTTGTTTGTTTATTGTTTTGTTTATTTCGCTCTCTAAATATTCGCATCGTCATTACGCAATAATTTTATATTAACATTACATTTTTTTTAATCTATTGCTATTACATTTTATATATTATTTATATAATTTTATTTTTATTTATAAATAACGTATATTTCGTTTTTATATTGTTTTTAATTTTATTGATAACATTATTTAGGAAATTTGTTAAAAAACGAATACATAAAAAGTAATTATTTAATGTACCTATGTAATATTATTTCAACTTAAAAATTGTATGGTCATAATTATGTTAAAATAATTTGTCTATATTTGAAGTACTTACTATACAAATTTGGTAGACAGTAGTTACCGTCTCCAAAAAAAAATATAAGTAATTATGTTGATACTATATAAGTACTTTAAATATAGTACAAAACTATTTTACTTGTGTTTATTTAAATGTTACCTAATTTAGGTATATTTATAGGAAATAAAAATATATATGTAGTTACGAGTGCGTCATCAAAATTTAATAAGTACATAGTAGTACGTATAAGTACATAGATTGTATGGAAATGAAAACATCGTTTTCCGGTTTTGACAAAATTATAATTCACTCGATGTTATACGTACGTTCATTAATTTGAATATCCACAATTACATTAAATTGGCAACTGAAATTATTACAAAAGTTCAGTATATACATAGTATAAAAAGGAAGTCGCTTGTCGCTGTCTATTTGCTTAGATCTTTTAAACTACGCAACGGATTTTAATACAATTTTTAGAAATAGGTAGAGTGGTTCAAGAGGAAGGTTTATATGTATAATACATGTACACTGCTGAGAAGCCGGGGCGGTCAAGCTAGTACACTATAAATCAATTATCTTAACGATATATACATATTTTAAAATCCTGGTGTACTTAATATTTTTGATATCGAGAGATTTGAGTTTGATTTTATAAATTATTATGATATTTCGCAAGGGTAGAAGATGTTTAGTACAGGATGTTATTTTTACGAAACCACTAACGTTCACACGAAAAATATTGACGTAGGTTATTATGAGTCTGAAATGTCTAACTGTTTCAATTATATCATTTTGTAGCCTGTTACCTAGCATTGTATAGATACGGTATAATAAGGTAAATGCAGAAGTATGACATTGAACACTGTTTAACTACGCACGCCCAAACATTTATTCAGATGTGCAGCGTATAAAGAAATTTACGTAAAATGTGTTTGCTTTCATTAACGTATCAGTATATAAAGGTTTTGATGTACTATTAAACAGTACAACGAAACGCTTCACCATCTTCACGTATATATAGAATTCTAATTGCGTTTTGTTTTCAATATAAATTTGCTAATATTATAGACACTATAGTTTGTGAGTGTGAATGGATGTTTGTTATTCTTTCACGCAAAAACTACTGAACGGGTTTTGATGAAAGTTTACAATTATACATCAGGCTACTAATTTCATGTGGATGAAACCGCTTGCACAACGAGTAATCATAATAAACTTAAACGATTCGCACAACGCCATATAATCCCAAGCTAACCAGAGCTGTAGTTGTGTGTACTAAACAACTGATAGACATACTTATATACATTTTTTTGTAAATTCATAAATAATATGCATAGTATACACTCACATCCATACAAACAATCATACTCATGAATACAAATGTTTGTACAGTACGAGGAATCACACTTGTGACCATCGAAAGTAAGGCGGTAAGCTAAACCGCTAGACCGCCGAGGCCGTCACTATCTTCATGTTCTGTTTTCAAATCTTGAAACATTTTGTTTAATTATAAAACTTTCTTTACAACTAGCGTTAAATTAATCAATCGACTGAAAAAATATAGATTTACACAATTCTATTTTTTTTTTGTATGCTATACGATATCATCCACATCATGTTATATTTGAGACATAGTTTTAGGAATCACTTCGAAATCGTTTCCCGTAGTTATATAAAAATGGTCACGATAGTAGCTAACGTACTAATGTTGTCTGAATTGAAATGAAATTTCACGATTATTAATTAATTTATGTCAATCGATAATTAACAAAATCGAGTTCAGTATTCATTGTAGTCTGTACTAGTGTCCTCTGAAGGTATAAATCTAATGGGAGATTCCATATCAATGGTTTAATCCTATAATGTAGAATAAAATTGTTTGACATGATGTCTACAGTCACCTTTTACTATCGCACTGCTAGCCATCAACAGGGATTCATCCCCACAGGTCACACTTAGGTGCTAAGTGGTTTCGGACAGTGTGGTTTCAGAGGAGGAGAACCGGGAAGAATCCCGTACACTTAGATTGTAGAATGAACTTCCTGCCGAGGTTTTCTCATGAGACTACAGCTTGGGGTTTTTCAAGAAGGGTATATTAAAGTTTCTTAAGTGTCGGCAACACGCATGTGACCCTCCTGGTATCTCAGGCGTCCAAAGGCTACGGTAACCATTTACCATCAGATGGATCGTATGCTTGTTTGCCAACATCGTAGTATAAAAAGAAAAACTCGAAACCCGGACGACAGTTGGCGCCACCTACTGCAATATGAAAAATAATGTATATTTAAAACTTTAAGTACATACATACCTACCTAATAATTTGTACAACTGTTTCAATGAATACAATGTAACATGGAATTGTGATACCGCATAATTATATTTAAGAGCGTAATTTCAAATTATTGACCCATTTTTAAACTTTGAACTATTTATCAAATATTGCAGTGGAACATTTGTTACATACATATATTTAGTTTGTATATCTAAATAGGCGTGTATCACTTGCGATATATATGTACATATGTATATATCGGTGCATATTTTTTTGTTAGACGTCTAACATGGGATCGATAAAGCGGCTGGGCTGCAGTCGTGTGTGTGTATCGTACGCACCCAGATTAGATATCTTTGCAAGGATTTATTATGAGCCCTACACAATTACAGGCTGTGAAAAAAATTAATGAAAAATTATTATATTGCCTTTATCTTTATATGAAACTATAATCACCAATGTGTTGATTAGACTTATATAAGAGAAATGTATACCGTATGACAATTAAAGTGTACAGCAATCTTCCAAAGGAGATTAGAGAACTGAGATATAGCTAATACATTGTTTAAATGCAAACTAAACAATTTGCTGGTACTTGGTAATTTTTATAGTGTCCAAGAATATTTGAGTAAAACGAATACCTTCATATAATTTGTATGACTATATGGTAAATATTGCTGATCAATAATATTTCATGTCACATCATATACTGTATCGTAAATAAATTTAATTTCATATAGATAATTTTTGAGTATAGTTAACTTTGGTTAGAATTTTTGGGTTTATCTCTTCATTAGTTTTTATCAGCGATTTTGTAAGCTTGAACGTTATAACTGAATTCAGTTATAGAGTTCAAACTTACAAAATCGCGATCCATTGATCGGGATACAAGTAAGAATATAAGCTATATTCTTCTCCATCTCAGCCGTATACCAAATTTAAAGACAGTCCTTACTAATATTACAATTCTGAAAATTTTTCTGTTTGTTATATTTTCAAAACTAAACTGTAGGATGAATAGTAATAAAATTTGCCACTAAGATAGATTATATCACGAGGACGGACATATCTTTACTTATATGTAAAAGAAATGCAAACAAAGTCACAGGTAACAGATAGTAATAAAAAGACAAACTCACATTCATATTTATATTATTAAACAATACGTAATTTGACATTAGTTAAACATCAATTGACTTGTAGCTTACGGCCCTTAGGTCATTCCTGGGTAACAGTCTTATTAATTGCGGAGTAGTTCAATTTTTCTTAGTGTTACTGGGAGCGGGAACACAACTTATTACACCTTTTGTTTAAGAAACACATTTTTACTAGTATTCGATTGTTATTAAAATACTTATTTTAATAAACATCGAATACTAGTAAAAATGTGTATTCTTCACAAAAGGGCTCACAGCGAAAGGAAGTAACAAAACAATTAGTTAGTTAAAAGTGCCATATAAAAAATATATATGAAAAATATAAAGTTTATAAAAAGAATGGTAGACAAGCTGCAAGTAACAGTTATGTTTACGTACAGTAACAACTTAATAATCTACGGCTGTGGATGAGAAGCGTTTACATACATATACCCAAAATAATTTCATTTAATACACATTTAAAAGACTTAAAACCATCGACTGTATACTAATTGGAATGAGTTTTAGTTAATTAACTAAGCAAATGACATTTATTTGTGAGTAAAATACAATTAGATGCAGGTGGAGATTTATCAACCTATCCAGGTAAGTTTTAGACTGTTTTTTGAACTGTTCTAAGCCTACTTGCCATAGACGGCCTTTACAGCTTCAACGGAAGAAAATGGCGGCGAGTGCAGAGGGATCTCCAAAACCTACGGAAGGACTTACGGTGTCTCAGGCGTCCATAGGTTACGTTAACCACTTACCATCAGATGAACCGTATGCTTGTTTGCCACCGCAGTAGTATAAAAAAATAGAGGTTGAAGGCAAGCTCCTGGCCGATAGTTACGGATTTAGTCCAAGGGCACGGCCTCAGTGGTCTAACTGTGTAGTATACCACTTTACTTCCAATGACTGCGAGTTCGATTCCTCGCACAATATAAAC